GAGCGCTGGGGGTGGCGGCGGCGCGGGGGGCGCCCGGACTGCGCTCAGCGATGCCGAACTGGGTCGCTGGGCCGAACTGTTGTCTCCTCTGGACGAGTCCCGCGCCAGCATCACCTCAGTCACCAGCTTTTCCCCGGACGACGTGGCTTCCCCGCAAGGTGACTGGACCGTAGTGGAGGTAGAAACCTTCCACTGAGCCAGACCCTAGCCCCGCCCACCACACTCCTTTCCTGCCTTATAATCCGCCCCACTCGATTACACCTCTTCTTAGACCCTGGTCCCCTCCTCCTGGAGTCTGGCTCTGGGTGGATTGGCCTCAGCCCCCTTGAGCCCTAGAATTTTGGCCCAGGTTCGCCACCCACCCATACCTTTGGCCAAGATCCTCTCCTCGAGCCTTGCCCCTTCGGCTTAGGACATGCTCCTGCTTCCCTCGAGCCCCGCCTCCTCCCTCTGCCCGGGCCCCAACCCGTGTCCAGTGTATTGTCTACCACCTGCAGCCTGAGTTCGCAATAAAGCCGGGACCCTGCAGCCTGTGCGCCTTTGCTGTCGTCGCGGGGACGGCTTCCCTGAGGATAAGAAGGGTCGCGTGAGGAGGGGCTGGGATGGGACCCGGGGATGCCCAGTACCCCTTAGTCTAGTGCTGCGTATTTACCCACGTGCATGAAGGTAGGCTTTTTCCTGTCCGACTTCTGGTGGAAACATTAGGCTTCTGAGGACCCAGGTGGGGCTGCGTGACCGAGTGGGTGAGTTAGTGTGTGGCCAGCATGGAGGAATGACCCGAGCTCTTTCCACACTAGGCCAGGGGAACTGGCACTCTTGGGGACAGGAGGAAGACACTTGAGAAGGGCTTGCTGGGGGTCTGCGGCGAGTGCTCTTCCTCCCGGTGTGCATCTCCTTACCTTGCATGCCCTGGGGTGTGGGCCAGAGAGGAGTCGCTGCTGGGTTTCCTCCTGGGCCTCCCAGCTCAGGTCTATTGCCTCCTCTCACCTAGGAGGCTGCAGTGCAAGGAAGGCCTGCAGCTAGGCTGGGAATCTCAAGAAGAACCTATGGGGAGGAGGGCCCTCTGGGGACAGGGTGGCAAGGGGCCTGTAGGTAAGAAGCAGCCTCTCCCAAGGCTGGGTGGGAGACCAGGGTGTCCTCACCATGCCCCTTTATGGCTCTCAACCCATGGGCCTCACCTTTCCCCCCAACTTAGGGTATTCTCCCCAAGCCCCTCCAGCCAGGCATCCTTGCCTGTGCCCCACAATCAGGGGTCCTCACCAGAGCCAACCAATGTCTTCATCTGTCTCCCTCCATCAGAATTCCTTGCCCTTCCTTCAGTCACCCTGACCCTGGACTCCTCAAGCTGTAGCCCAGGCCTTTCTTCCCAGGTGGCCCTGCAGGAAATGTACCCCTAGGCCTTTCCTCCTTGAGGGTCTCCTGCTTCACACAAAGAATGATGGAAGCTTGGTGGGGATCACAATCCCCAGGGCAGGTAAAAGAACAAAGCATGAACCTGTGTTGGGCCCTCAGCCCTGTCTCTGCCCCTAGACCCAGTCCCCATAGTTCACCCTGTAGCCAGACACAGCTCACCCCGTCCTCCCTGTCCCCAACCCAGACGTGGATGCCTCCCAACCTAGGGTCCGAGGAGAAATTGGCCATGTCCCAGTGGGCCCATGCCACCTCTACCCGAGAGCCAATGCGTGCGTATGTGTGTGTTGGGGGGGCACACAATATGCTCTGTCAAGCTCAGTAGCAAACCATAGAGGTTCCCTTTCTAGCTGGGCTGTGCAAAGATCCAGGGGTACTTCTTTCCAGACTCTTAGACAAGCCCAAAGGTGAGGGCTGACTCCTGACCTGCTGGGTAACCAGGGCCTCAAGGCCAGCCCCCCGGAAGGAACTGAGCAGAACCTGACAGTTCTCCTGGGGCCTTGCCTCATCCTGGGGAGCCAGAGGGATGGAATCACACTGTGAGAATAGAAGCACAGAGCAACTGTTGGGATCTCAGTGTTAAATCTGTGTGATGGGAATGGTACATAGATCCACAGGAGCTGTCAAATGATGACAATTCATGGGATTTGTCTGTCCCAGTGCATAACTAGCATCCTGCCCTGTTACTTGGAAGCCAGAAGAGTTGGGGACACTTTGTGGACCACACTGGGTGCAGAGGGGCAGGGCCTGGCTGGTATCTGCCTGGACCCAACTAAGTTTCTTATCTGGAAAGCCTTCCTTTACCATCCCCAGCTCTGTCCCCACCAACCAGCTGGGACTCTGCCTCAGTTCCATGGGAAACTCCACAAAGGACTCTGTCTAGGTCCCCTTCCCTGAGGAGAACCCTCATTCACTGTCCCTACTGCCGAGCTCAGTTTGGTCTCTGCCCTGGCCTCCTCACTGACCCCCAACACTGGTCCATTTGATGGTGTCCCCCTCTCTTAAGCCCTCCATGGCTTCCCGGTGCCTTTGATTCAAAATGAAAAAGCTGGCTTCTGATTGGAGAAACCTCTTCTTGGTCTGGCCACAACAACTCTCCTGTTCCTTCTTCACAGACATCATGTGCTTCCTGCTGGTCCCTGCCGTGTTTTGCCTTTATGCTTTCACCTGCCAACACCCCCTACCCTGTTGCCTCCAGGAAACCTTCCCTGATCTCCCTGCTCATTTGATTTACTGGGTACTTGCCACATGAGCATGAAGGCTCAGCCCCCACCCCCAAGTTGGTGTCTGTCTCTTCTACTACCCTGGGGACCCCTTAGAGCCAGGCATGGGGTAGAGCACCCCCAGGGCCTCAGGAAGTGTACGCTGAATGAGTGCAACCAGATCCCGAGACCCTGCCGCTCCTCCACACAAGCTGAGTCACCTAGTGGCTATCTCCAAAGCCACCATTCTGAAAAGGCCAGGCTATCAGGATGCGTCTGTGAGCCTGACATCCAAAGTCCTTGACCTGTTTCTCCTATTCTGTCCATCTCTCTCAACCCCACATTTTCGCTCACATTGCACCAGCAAATGCCCTTCCTTCCTCTCTCATGCTGCACCCCGACCTGGGTGTCTCTTCGGTCCTCCTGCTGGCCTGCTATGACCTCCACCCCTCTAGGAGGGTCCCAAGGGCAAGGACAGCCCACTCCCCTCCTCAGTGCTTTGCTGGACATGGGGCTGGGGCCCCAAGGCTGCTTGTGGTCTTTTCACCCCCAGGCCTGCCCCACTCAGTGTCCCTTGTCCACGACTGTGTAAATACATTTTATTTTCCATCTCTGCCTGGGTGACATGTGGAGTGTGAACAGGCAGTGTGCAAAATGATGGTGGGCAGTGTAGGAGACCCCCGTGATGCCCACCCTGGTCCCCAGGCTTTGTAACACTGAGGAGCAGGTGACTGGGAAGGGGAGGCTGCTTGTGAGGCTGCTCGGGCTCCAGGAGCCTTGAGACTGTCAGCCCCAAGGGTCATGAGGCCCTGGGAGGGAAGTAGTCTGGGGGGCATCGTTGGACTTTGGCACCGTTCTTGGCTCTGACTCTGCAGAGACCACGGGACCACCACAAGGAGGGAGGCGTGGGGACGACACTCCTCTGGCTGGAGCGTGGTGCTGGGGACCTAGGGAAGGGAAGTAGAAACTGGGGGCCCCCTGGAGAGGAGGCTAGTCTGGGTGGGGGAGCCCCTCCATCACTGGCCAAGATGGGGTTGTGGGAGTGTTTCACAGAGGAAGATGTGGGGCGCTAGGGACAGGGGTCTTGTGACTTCCTTGCAGCTGCCCTGGCCCCCGAGAAGCAGAGACAGACACTGCCTGGGCCCAGGCTGGTTCGCATTTGCCACACATACCTCAGGTGGCCCTGCACACAGTAGAGGGGACTTTGGTTTCTGCTGAAGGGGCCATGAGGCCTGCACCAGGCAGGAAAGCTCAGCCTGACCATCTGTCCCTAGCAGCCAAGGGTCCCCAGGGGCATTGTGGGGTGGTGACGTCTAGCCCAGAGTGGACCTTTCTTCCTCAGGCCTCCTCCAGTTCCTGGATCCTTCCCAGGAGGGCCACCCTTGTCCCAGAAGGAGGCCTGCCGGGAGGAGGGAGCTATCTGCCATCCAGTCCTGGGAACTCTGTTCCTCTCGTGTCTCGTGCCCTTGCTGTTAAGAGGGGCAGACCCTCCAAGTAACTGGGCCTGGAGGGGTCCGGACCAAGACGGTTAAACAGTGCTGGGGAGGGTGGGCCTGCCGAGGGACCCTGAGATCCTCAGGCTCCAGCTCTGATCTCTGCACCCTGCAGCGCTGGGCCTTGCCCTCGGGCTGGGCCAACCATCAAGGACGTGGAGTTTGGTAAGTGTGGCCCCAGCTTCCCCCAAGATGGCCCCCGGGCTCCGGGCTCACTGGCAGGGCCTCAGTTGTCCAGGCCCTGGCTGTAGGGCGCGGCCAGCTCGTCAGCGTCACTGTCAGAGCTGCCTTCGCTGTCCTTGGCCGGCCGCTCCAAACGGCGGAAGAAGCGCGCGTCGCGCGGGGACAGAGGGTAGAGCGCATCCTGGAGCGCCGCGCCCACGCCCACGCCCAGCAGCTCCTCGTCGGACGAAGGCAGCGAGTCCTCATCCAGGTGTCGCGCCAGGCCTAGCCCGTCGAAGGCCAGCGGGTCCTCGAAGGGCGGCGGGCCCTTCAGCAGCCGCACCTGGGGCGGGGGACCGGTGCGCTGGGGGCGTGGACCCACGTGCCCGCGGACGGAGTTGGGCCGCCAGGCACTCTCCTCTCCCGCACCCCAGGCGCTGACGCCCGGTCCACAGGCCAAGGACACAGGGCTCTCAGGCCCCTCCCGCGCTCACCTCGGCCTTCAGCTCCTCGATCTGGTCCTTGAGCTCACGGATGTACTGCGATGAGTCTGAATGGTTCAGCTGGCCCTGGATGCGGCCCTCCTCCCTCTGCCGGCAGGTCAGGGCACGAGGGTCAGGCAGAGCCCGGGCCGGGCATCCCCTTGCCCCCGCGCTCCGGTCCAACCGCTCACCTGGATCTCCAACTCCGCGATGCGCTGCCGCATCTCGGCCACCGCCGCCATGCTGTCAGCCTCCCGCAGGCGCACGGCCATCACCTCCTCCTTGCTCTGAGGGCAGGGGGGAGAGGGCGGGTCAAGGGCGAGGCGGAGCGGGGCAGGGGGCGGGGAGGCGGGACCCGGGAGGGGGGCACCTTGCACTCGGCTTCCGCCTGCTTGCGGCGGCTTTCACTCAGCTGCGTCTGCAGCCCCTTGTTCTGCGCAGCCAAGT